ACCCAGCAATTTTTCAAGGAGGGTTGGAAGGTAGGTAGTACACTGCTCTTGAATTCATCAGGTAACAAAGCAGTTTCACTGATCATAGAAAAATTATAGAATACTTAGTATAATAGAATTCTCTTGTAAATATCATTACTTCTGGAGGCAAACTCAGTTTCCTTTTAAATATTCTAAAAAGTTTTCCCCTAAAAAAAACAAACAAACCAACCCAAAAAAACCCCTCTCAATTCTGGCACAGAAAGAAGAGATTAAAGAACCAAAAGACCCACTTGTTCTTTCCACTCTTCTTTTCTCACCCACTTCTGATTGTCAGAGGAAGGTGATTAATGAAAATATTTTAAGTATCCTTTTAATATCTCTCTGATGAAAAATTTCTTGACATTTCAAATAAATTATAAAGTATTTCAGTTTTAGACCCTGCTCTAGTACTACCAACTTAGCCATGTGAGTTTGACAAGTTTTATCTTCTCTAGATTTTAAGTTGCTTTCCAGTTCTAACCATGCCAAAGACTCCAAAATTATAATCAATCACACACAGTATGCTGAGTGTCCTCCTAACAAAGCCTATTCTCAGTTTAAATAGCCAAAAAGCTGCAGAGAGCATTTCACAAAGATCCTAAACATGATTTTTAAACAGTTCTTTTTTTTTTTTTTTTTAAGATTTTATTTATCCATTTGACAGAGAGATCACAAGCAGGCAGAGAGGCAGGCAGAGAGAGAGAGGGGAAGCAGGCTCACCGCCAAGCAGAGAGCCCAATGCAGGGCTCGATCCCAGGACCCCGGGACCACGACCTGAGCCGAAGGCAGAGGCTTTAACTCACTGAGCCACCCAGGCGCCCCTAAACAGTTCTTAATGACCAGATTATATACCCATCAGTTAGAGTAACTGTAAGGAACTGCCAAGGTAACACAGATCCACAGACTAAATAACAAAGTTTTTAAAAAGAAGCATTTGTTTCTCTAGACCTTCAGAGAATCACCCCTCCCACCACTCGTACACCTCACACTGAAGAACTATTCAAAAGAAACAAAGAGGCTCCATAAAAACACATTACCATAGCTTCCTTTTTAAAACAGAAATTCCCCTTCCTTAAAATGACTGAATGACATCCTACCAAACAAGTTCTTATCTGGGATGAGATGTAGCAACAACATTCCTCCAAAAGATGGATAATCCATTACTCAAACCAGGGATACCAAACTTCAGTAATAGTATTCATGCAGCAGTCTCTTGTAACTGCGAGCTACCCTACACAATGGGTATCACCCATCACCCACTTTCTGGAGCAATGAGGCAACAAGGCCCGTGAAAATCAGACCTCCTATAGTAGAAAAGATGATTATAGGCCATTTTATGTTGTATCTGTTACTGTGTCTGACAATGGCACATTTACTATAAAGACAACCACAAGAAAGAGAATTTCCAAAGAAAGCAGAGAACCTGGAAAATAATTCAGGTCATAATCATTGAACTGAAAATTCAAATACTAAAAAATTCAAAATGGGCCATTTAGTTATTCTCCAACTGTAAAGTGCATACAAATCTTTAAAGGATCTTGGTAAAGTCCCAACTAATTCAGTAAGCCTAGGTTGAGAAACTGCATTTCTAATAAGCTGCCAGTTAATGCCAAAACTGCTGGTCCATGGATCACACTGAACAGCAATGAAGACTGAAACATGACTTGGCCATAAAAAACAAACGAACAAAAAACGTACAGTTTCAAAAGGGAAATAATTCAATAATTCCTTGGTGATATTTCTCCAGGTTTTTTCTCTTAGTTTTGTTTTCTATAAGAGCCGTTTTTATTAGTAAATATTTATTGGTTTCACCTATTGGGCTAATTTTGTACCCACCAAAATCTCAATTCAAATTAACATGAAAGGAACCTATCTAAATTATGAACCACAGAAGAAACACAGAAACCTAAGCAAAACAATGGTATTTCAATGTTATTTCTCATTCTAAATGGAAATATTCCTAAATGAACTAGGTTTTACACATTCAAACCTGAAGACAACAAATATTCTATAAAGACCAGTTAAGTGCTGAATTACTTAATTTTAATAAACTGGTTGATCTCAACAGGCTGTCTTTAAAATAAATAAATAAATAAATAGAATTCACAGGGTATCTGGATGGCTCAATCATTTAATCAACCGACTCTCAGGTCATGATCTCAGGACTGTGAGATCAAGACCTTGATACAGGTTCTGTGCTGGGCATGGGGCCTGCTTAAAATTTGCTCTCCCTAAGACCCTCCTTCCTAAAAAAATTCTCTGCTTTTTCTCTTAACTTTAAAGAATTTTTTACTATATAACTACCAAGACTTCGAACAAATTGCTGCTCACAACATAAACTTCGAATAAGAACAAACTACATATTCTGCAAAAAGCTGCTGAAATCAAAGTTGCTGAGAAAAATCATGTGTATCATTAGGTATTCAGTTATCTCTAGAACTCTCTAAGCAGTCAATTCTCAACTACTTACTTTTTTTTTTAATATTTTATTTATTTATTTATTTGTCAGAGAGAGAGAGAGAGAGAGAGAGAGGGAGGGAGAGAGGGAGAGAAGCACAAGCAGGCAGAGTGGCAGGCAAAGGCAGAGAGAGAAGCATGCTCCCTGCTGAGCAAGGAGCCCAAAGCAGGACTCCATCCCAGGACCCTGGGATCATGACTTGAGCCAAAGGCAGTGGCTTAACCAACTGAGCTACCCAGGTGTCCCTCACCTACGTACTTTTTTTTTTTTTAAAGATTTTATTTATTTATTTGACAGAGATCACAAGTAGGCAGAGAGGCAGGCAGAGGGAGAGGAAGGGAAGCAGGCTCCCTGCTGAGCAGAGAGCCCGATGCGGGACTCGATCCCAGGACCCTGGGATCATGACCTGAGCTGAAGGCAGCGGCTTAACCCACTGAGCCACCCAGGCGCCCTCACCTACGTACTTTAAAATGCAAGTTTATTCATTAAACAAGCATGCATTTATTTATTTACTTTTAAAATTTTACTTATTTGACAGACACACAGCGAGAGACAGAACACTAGCAGGAGTGAGAAAGGGAGAAGCAAGCTTCCCGCTGAGTAGAGAGCCTGATGTAGGACTTGATCCCAGCGTCCTGGGATCATGACCTGAGCTGAAGGCAGAGGCTTAATGACTGAGCCACCCAGGTGCTCCTCAACAAGCATTTATTAACCACCTACTATGTGCCAGGCACTTTGTTAAATGTTAAAAATAAAGCTTGTGTTGGGGAGTCACACAGACCTTTCAGATCCTGGCTTGACTACTTAATGGCAAGCTTTTGAAATCTAAGCATCGATTTCCTCACAGTTGTAGTGACAGTTACACTATATAATGTAAACAAAGTGCCTACCACCGTACCTTGTATGTGATAAACAATGGGTAAAAGCTGTATGAAATATGAAGTCTGAGTAAAAAGTTGATCCTGCCCTCAATAAGCCAGTTTTCTACTGAAGAGCTCAGTGTGAGATTACAAACCAACTTAACAGTGAGGTAAAGGAAACATGTCTGGGGGGCCTGGGGGGCTCAGTGGGTTAAGCATCTACCTTCAGCTGAGGTCATGATCCTGGGGTCCTGGGTCCTAGGATCCAAAACTGCTCCAGCTCCCTGTTCAGGTGGGAGTGTGCTTCTCTGTCTCACTCTGTCCCTCCCCCACCCCCACTTGTGCGGTCTCTCTCAAATAAATAAATAAATAAAATCTTATTTAAAAAAAAAGAGAGAGAGAGAGAAAACATGTCTGGACAGATAAATCCACTATCAAAACAACAACAACAAAACAATCCCCTCAATATATAATGAATCCCATAACTGAAATGTGCTTTGGGTTAGTGTATGAGTCCTATGAACACTAATGTCTTCTTCCACTTAGGAAAATAACAGAGTACGCCATAAATAAGAAGAACAAATGTTCAAGCTATGTGGTTTTTTATGCACAATAGGATCACAATGGGGTATATACCTTAGGACAATTTTGGCGAAGTTGTAATTGCTTAACATAACAGATCGGTACACTATTGATCACAATTCTCTTCCTACCACCTTCAGAAAGGCTACTAATAGCAGCCTTTACTTACAAGAACAAATATTTATCCTACACACAACAAATAATAAAGCAAGTAATTCTGGAAACCTACCTGGCAACAACAATTAATAAATTTTGGGTTTTATTTATAAAAAAATAAACAGAAGCAGAGCATCGTTCCTTGGATACCTAGAAGGTATCCATGATTTCTAGCCAGCTATATGACATTCGACAAACTTTCTTAATAGTTCCAAACTTCAATTTCTTTATCTGAAAAACGGTAATCCTGGTACCTAGTTGCTAGAATTGTTAAAATGAATACAAGCAAAGCACTCAGACAAGTAATTACTCGATAAATATTAGCTATTTGCTATCCCTTACAATGAGAAAACTACTCTTGGTAACCATGAAACTAATAAAAATGTAACGTTTTAGGATTTTCTGTTAGTTTGAAGTGATCAAAAATGAGAAACAAGGATAAGGTAACAACGTGTTATTATCCACCAACACCTGATCCTACTTAAATGGCTTCATTTGTGAAGTCCTAAAAGTAAGCAATACTGGCCTAACCAGGTACAGCAATTTAATTCTGGGTGGTTTAAGGACAAAGGAAGGCTGCTATACTACAAGAAAATAAAGAAAAAAGAGATATATGTAGATATGAACGAGGTGGCGGGTAAAAAAAAAAAAAAGACCAACCATCCCGGACTCAGGGCTAGAGGCCCGGGTCACCATGGCTCCTCCCAATGAGGAAGCAGAAGGCGTTCAGCCTCACTAGCGAGGCCCACCGAGACACCCCGAACCCAAAGCCGGTCGCATTGAAGGTCGCGCGTGCAGAACCTCGAGAGCCGGCCGCAGGGGTCTGGACTTCCCGCCGGCGCCCCCGGGAAATCCGCGCCGACTCTACCCGGAGGCCTGAGTCACCGTCCGCGCGGCCCAGAGGCCGGGGCCCAGCCGGTTACCTTCGGCAGGGAATTCCTCGAACTCGTCGTCCTCCTCCAAGAGACCCAAATCCACCGGCTGCTTTTTCTCTGACATGACGACGCTCTGCGCCAAAAACCTCTCAGGCCAAGAGGAAAGTTGGAACTCTCACTTTTCCTCACCGAAGCCACCAACGCCGAGGCGCCCCTGAGGCCGGCTCTACCATCGAGACGCGGTAGAAGAGCAACGGGAGCAGCGCAAGGAATGCTGGGATACTGGAGGTCTGCCCAGCGCTTCCTGCGGGTTTAGCAATCCGTCGGAGTTAGAGATGGATCATTTTATGCCTTTATTGTTTTATCTGGGCTCTCTGAATTGGCAAATTTGGCATCCGGGTAGGTTTTCCTCATTGGAAAAGACTCACAATGTGTAGAAAAATTAAACACCTTTACTTAGTTTAAGTCTGAGGGATAAAGTGCCCGCTAAGATTCCTCAAGGGCCTGCTAAGTGTCGGGCCCTTCATATAGATTAGCCCCAATCTTAAACCGATCCCTAAGCATGGTATTAAATATCTCCACGTCACAGAAAATTCAGATTCAGAAAGAAATAGCCAAAGTCAGTCAAGTAGTGCTACACAGCCCAAATACAGGTTTGTTTACCTGACTTGCATCTCCACTCTGCCCTTTGTTCGTTGTTCCTCCATCTTGCAATTACGCTGTAATAGAGTGTGTTTCTGTGTGTAATAACTAGTTTTCAGGTTATTATAAAATCAAACAATGTAAAATTCGATATATTTATACTTTGTGGTGTTCAAATATTTCATTTTGAATTTTTCAAATATTAAATATTTTTAATGTAGCTGTGAGCTTATAAAACTTACATGTGTATGTAATATTATAATGTAATATAACATATAATTAGGTGTATAAATTTTGATACATATGCTTGCTTGTATATTTAAATCCTGTTCCTTCATTCAACAACAGTAGGTGTGTTAGCTCATGCCATGCACCAGGCACCATATTGGAAATCAAACAGATATAAACAAAGTCCTTCTGTTCCAGGAGTTCAGAGTCCATTCAGAGACATGTAAACCGATAAATCACAATGGAACATAGTAATACATTTGAATTTCTATTTTAAATGGAAATTATCTGAGAAATGAAGAGCGTATGGATGTACAGAGAATAGAGCAAGTAAATATAGCACAGATTTGGACCAGAATTTGGGAACCTCAATTAGATGTAAATATAAAAAAAAATTAGATGGCCCTTATTAATACTATTTTGATTTGTAGTGGTTACTAAAAACATTAGCAGCCTTCAAATTAAGTTCAAAATGTATGTAATTTGGGGGTGCCTGAGTGGCTGAGTGGGTTAAAGCCTCTGCCTTCAGCTCAGGTCATGATCCCAGCCTGGGATCAAGCCCCGCATCGGGCTCTCTGCTCAGCGGGGAGCCTGCTTCCTCCTCTCTCTCTCTGCCTGCCTCTCTACTTGTGATCTCTGTCTGTCAAATAAATAAATAAAATCTTTAAAAAAAAATGTATGTAATTTGACATGTTATATGAATAAATACCAAAAGAAGAGAAGGAAAAGATGAGGAAAATCTAAAATTGGAATTAAAATTAGAAGTAAACTAAAACTCTAAGTAAATGTGGACAGTGTAAATATAGAAAATATATGGTATATTTCTTCATATTAAAATTTTTAAGTATGGCGGCATTTGCTAACCCTGATGGGACCTCTTAGAATTTTGTACTTTCATGCTGTCTATCATATATATTACATATGCCACTGGGAACGACACACCAAGGTAAAGCTTTGGGCAGGCAGTTTGATTTAGGCAGCAAGGAATAGAAAACAAATCATAGATCTGAGACAGCCATTTTGTGCAGAAATAAAAGATTTGCCTGAGGTTGTATCCATAGAGACAGAAAAATTAATGGCTGCCAGGAGATGAGGAAGGGGGGAATTGGGACTAACTGCTAATAGGTATGAGGTTTGTGGGATGATAAAAATATTTTGGAATTAGGTAATGATGATGGTTGAATATACTATCAGTGAATATACTAAACAGTGAATATACTAAAAACTACTGAAGTGTACACTTTAAAATGATAAATTTTATGTTATGTGAAGTGTATCTGAATTTTTTAAAGTGCTATAAAAAATTTGGCCAAGGAGTCAGGAATGCCAAATTCTAAGTGCATTATTTAATTTATCTGATATGTGATTGATGTTTATATCAATTCGCAAAAGAAAAAAATCAATGGTGATATAGTGATTTCCCTCATAAAATTGAATATATTTACAGGAATAATTAAAAACAACAATTTTATGTTAAGTCTCCAATTTTTGAAATTGAAAAATTTACTGATCCATTAAGTCCAGAATGCTGGAACCACTGAAATAACTTTTTTTGAGATCAAGACCTGAGCTGATATCAAGAGTCAGAGGCTTAACCGATTGAACTACCCAAGCACCCCTGAAATAATGTATTTTAATTATCATGGCACATGCCATAATGAGCAACTTCACATTTAAATGGGCATGGCACATGGAAAAACTCTGGGAAATGATTGCTATTAAAATGTAAGAGTCATTATTGCTTTCCTAACTTAAGCATGTAAGAATCATATTTGATGGACTTTATACTAGACTCAATTCTTACACAGGAGGATTAGGCAAATTGCTTAGTTTCTCTAAAGTAATTTTAGTGATTTGTAGAGTTAAAGCAAAGATTAAGTGACTCTCTCTGTATGTACACACACACACACACACACACAAATGTGTGTGTGTGTGTGTGTGTGTGTGTGTGTGTGTGTGGGTGTATGGGGCATAACCCAATACCTGGCATGTAATAAGTAATCAATACATGTTAGCTCTTATTAAATAAGGATCTTAAACTTTAATATCTGTCAGATCCTCCCTGCTAACGCTGAAAGTCTTTAAATGTAGGTTTTATTTCCTAGATGATATCTTGGTAATACTTTGGGAAGAAGTGAGTTCCTCCACAAGTTAATAGTAGTAATAGTAATAATAATAATAATAATAGCTAACATGTATTTAGTGTTTACTTTGTATCAGGCACTGTGCCAAGTCCTTTTTTTGGATTAAGTGAATACAATTTAAATCTATTTAGTACTTGTGGGAAATAAGGGACAAAGAGGTTGTAATGTGGCCAAGGTCACAGTGCTGAGAAGTGATGGAGCTATTGTATTCTAAGGGCTTTTTAAAGGATAAGGAAAAAAAAAACACCTCAGTGTGTGGAGACAGATAGTTGACACAAGAACCCTGAAATCATTTCTTTCTAACACTACTGAACATGTACATATGTAGGAAAATGGCAGAAATACATAAATGTAGACAAAAGTAGAGACAGCAAAGAGGTAGAATGAGGAAGAAAATGGAATCTTAAGATTGTCTTAGCTGTGTGTAGCAAGGAAACCCTCTATAACATTAGAGAGAAGCTCTGCAATCACAATTATGCCTTTTCCTATATATCATATCTGTAATTGGTTGATTATATTTAACTTCACAAGAAATCAAGATAGCAGCATATTTTATAGTAGGTGATTGAATTTGTCTCTAGCAAATATTTTTTTCCTTGAAGTCCTGTTTGGGATCTTTATAATTATAGTTATACCACAAATACCTGAATCCTTAAGTTTCCTGTAGAATGACTATCAGTTACTAGGCAGAATGGATTCTACAAGATTGATCTTTCTATATTTATCTCTATCCAGGAAGAAATGGCCAGGGACTGCTAAATGCCTGATATCTGGAGTAAGGACTGATTTCAGAGTCACTTCATTTGACCTCAGGAAGGTACAGCTAATTAGCCAGCCATGAAGAACTGAGGAGACAGGTCTACACATCAAGTCTCTAGGATGTCCTTCCGCGGTATGTAAAAAGCTTTGGTGCCAGAATCACTCGAGTTAATTCAGGCTCTGCTGCTTACCAGCTATGGGGCCCTAGAAAATTACTTTCCCTCTTGGGTCTCAGTTCACTCATCTTTGATATGGGAGTAATCAGTTACCTTCTCTATGAGGTTGTTGGAAGGATTAAATAAACTATTTCGTATAAAGCACACTCAGAAGGATGCCTGACATATGATGAACAATAAATACTAAGAGTTTGAAATCAGAAGAATGACGATGTTGATTCCTACCCTCTAGCAATTCACACCACTTCTTGAGATTAGAAAAAAAAATTAATTCCAGCTGTGCTTGTCATCAAGAAGTACTCAACTTTTGCTGTGCCCTATCTATCTTTTAATCTGTCCTTTCTAACCTCCAGAACACAGTTGTTTGCTGGAGCCTCTGAGTGTCCAAAGGACAGGTCCTAGATGAAATTAAATCCATAAGACAGACCTTCAGGACCTTCCTCTTCCCACCGGGTCACAACATTCGGGCATTTAACCAACAAGATCATCAAAATTTCACATATATTTGTGATAAAGGCAAGTGTAACTCTGTTAGGAGAAAATGGAAATTTGGAAGGGTGGGGCATACTAAACCATACTAAACCATATGCAATTTGCAACAAGGGACCTAAAAGCAGGGAAATGTAGAAAGGATGAGATATAGAAAGTAGACTTCGGGATATCTTTTATAGAACATCTTTTATTTCATATAAATCTACAGCTCCATGTTCACTTTTTTATTTATTCACCTTCCCCTAAAACAGATCTTGAAGGTCTTTAAGAAAAGTGGACTGTAACTGTGAGGTCAGGCTCTGAACACCTGCAGCTAGCTGTAAGCCCTGCTGTGATCTACTTTTTTAAATTTGTTGTGGTAAGAGCACTTAATATATCTACCCTTTCACATTTTTGAATGCACAATACAGTATTAACTATAGGCATGGTGCTGTACAGCAGATCTCTAGAACTTACTCATTTTGAATAATTGAAACTTTAACAGCAATTCCCCATTTCTCTCTTTTTCCAACCCCTGGCAATCACCATTTTATTCTGTTTTTATGAGTTTGACTATTATAAACACCCCATGTAAGTGGAATCATGCAATATTTGTCCTTCTGTGACTGGTTTATTTTATTTATCATAATGTTCTCCAGGTTCATCCATGTTGTTGAATATGGCAGAATTTCTTCTTTTTTAAGGCTGAGTAATATTCCATCCCTTTTTCTGTCAATGGGAATTTAGGTTGTTTCTATATCTTGGTTACTGTGAACAATGCTGCAAAAAAACATGGGAGTGCAGATATTTTCTTGAGATCCTGATTTCAGTTCTTTTGAATAAATTCCCAGAAGTGGAATTGCTGGACTGTATAATAGTTCTATTTGTAATTTTTGGGAAGATCTTCATATTGTTTTCTATAGGGGCCACATCATTTTACATTTCCCAGAACAGTACATAAGGGTTATAATTTCTCCACATCCTTGTCAATACATGTTACATTTTTTTTATTATTATCATTATCATTATTGTTATTATTGCCACCCTGAGAAATAGATGTGAGATGGTGATATCTCATTGTGGTTTTTATTTGCATTTCCTTGATTTTTCATGATGTTGTTTATCTTTTCACATACCTATTGGTCATTTGTATGTTTTCTTTAGGGAAATGTCTATTAAAGTCCTTTGCTCATTTTTCTTTTTCCTTTTTTTTTTTTTTTTTTGAACAAGAGAGGATGCATGTATGAGGTGGAGAGAGGGGCAGAGGCAGAGAGAGAATCTTAAGCAGGCCCCACACCCAATGCAGAACTCAGTGTGGGACTTGATCTTATGACCCTCAGGTCATGACCTGAGCCAAAGTCAACAGTCAAAAGCTTAACTGACTGAGCCACCCTCAGGTGCCCCCCTTTGCCCATTTCTTAATTTGGTTTTTGGGGTTTTTGCTATTGAATTGTAAGGAGTTCATATATATTTTGGAGATTAACCCCTTATTAGTTACATATAGGTTGCACATATTTTCTCCCATTCTATAACTTGCCTCTGTGGATTATTTTTTTCTGTGCAGAATTTTTTAGTTTGATGTAGTACCTCTTTTCTATTTTTGCTTTATGGCTTGTGCTTTTGGTGTCATATCCAAGAAATTACTGCCTAGATCAATGTCATGTAGCTCTTGACTACGTTTTCTTTCAGAAATTTCACAACTTCAGGTCTTACATTTAAATCTTTCATCCACTTTGAGTTGATTTTTGTATGTGATGTATGTTTGTTTAATGGTTTGGTTTGGGGAAGTGAGTAAAAACAAAATGAAATATAAGAACTTTTTTTTAAAAAACATAAAACCTGAAATATGTCATTTTTGTAATAATGTGATATTTTCCATTCTATTTTCTCAAAGTTATTTAACATTGTTTATGGATTTTGCTCTAAACTATATGATATGCAGATGCCACATGCAGATATAGTCCCTCCCCTCTTAGAGTTTATATCCTAGTAGGTTTTTTTAGCTTCCATCAGTTCACCTGGAATTAAGCTAGAATTTGCTTGGAGCAAATATTTGAGACTGGCTATGTTTCTAAACTTTAATATGCATTCACCTCTGGTGATCTTATTAAAATGCAGCTTCTGAATCAGCTGGTCTACCTAGGGCCTGAAATTCTACATTTTTAAAAAAATATTTTATTTATTTATTAGAGAGAGAGAGAGATCACAGGTAGGCAGAGAGGCAGGCAGAGAGAAAGGGGGAATGCAGGCTCCCCGCTGAGCAGAGAGCCCCATCTGGGGCTCGATCCCAGGACCCTGAGATCACGACCCGAGCCAAAGGCAGAGGCTTAACCCACTGAGCCACGCAGGCGCCCCTGAAATTCTACATTTTTTTTTAAGATTTTATTTATTTATTTATTTGACAGGCAGAGATCACAAGCAGGCAGAGAGGCAGGCAGAGAGGCAGGCAGAGAGAGAGAGAGGGAAGCAGGCTCCCTGCTGAGAAGAGAACCTGATGCAGGACTTGATCCCAGGACCCTGAGATCATGACCTGAGCTGAAGGCAGTGGCTTAACCCACTGAGCCACCCAGGCGCCCGAAATTCTACATTTTTAACAAGCTTTCATTTTGCTGGCCTGGAGACTGCCTTTTAAGAAGCAAGTGTTTAGATGAAATGTAAGAGAAAATACCTGACTTTCTGATCATTGATCCAGCTAACAATACTGCATGACTAGTCTATAACTTGTGGCTCTTTTAATGGTGTAGGGGAGAAAAGACTTTCCCTTTGTTCTCCTAGGTTCAATAACTGGGTCTATAAAATAAATTGACAACAGGCAGATTAACAGGAGCAAAGGTAAACAAACTTATTAATTTTTATTATTATGCACACCAGGGCATCACAGGAAAAGAAAAAGTGAATACCCAAAGAAGAGGTGAGATTTGAGAGCTTGTATGCCATCTTTAACAGCGGAAGGAGGGGATGTAGGCAATTTAGGGGAGAGGAAGTTATTTTTAGGAAAGATGAATGGGCTGTTAGAAGAATAGGAATAGATAGGAAATATGATAATTTATGACAAAGTGTGTCTGTGTGTTGACTTGACTTCTAGTTCCCTCCCCGTGGTAGGAGTCAATCCCAGGAAGGGGATTTATGACAACTGAATTCCTTTTGAAGGCTCTGTCTTTAGGCCGATAAGGGAAGTTCAAAGAAAACCTCCCCCTATATCTGTTGTTTTTCAGGTGCCTTTCCCTCAAAATAATCACTACACCAAAGTGACATGTTTTGGGGTGGCATGTCCAGAACTCCTTCAACAGCCATACTAAATTAAGATGCTTGTTTCTTGCTATTAGAGCTTTACCCCTGAAATGCTCTTGCTCCTATCCCTAGGAGGCTTATCTATTAGAGGCGTATATATCTGTGAACACACACTCACATCTTCATTAATATTATGAGTGCTCTATACTCAGTGGCTGGTTCTGGACTCTCAGAAGAATTACTATCTCAATAAAAAAAGAGTTCTTGGCTTTTTTAATGTGACAAAATGCTTGCATAAGTAAAAATGTGAAAGTTATAATTGTAAAATAACTCTCCAAAAATCTAGATCTCATTGTAGAACAATTAATAATGAATAAAGAAATAGTTATATAAAATTGAAATACTAATAATGATAAGTACTTAATCTACCACAAAGGAAAAGCCCAGCCAAAATTTCCATCTTGCACCAAAATACATGTTCAAAAATCAATATTTGCATGCCCAAGACTTGTTTGAAAAGGCGATTATGGTCTCACAGATAAATCATAAGAATTTTAAAAATTTTGTAAATGCTGTATTTATATGACAGACAAGAACCACTCTGAAGGAATCATTATGGTTTGGGAAATGATATGCAATTTCAAAATCATCTAAATCATTTCAATTGCCTGTATTTACATTTATATAATGGGTATTTATAATGGTGATTATTTTAGAACTTACCTTGTTTTCCAGGATCTCACATTGGTTTCTATGGGAACGAGAATGGCTCTGAAGAGGAGCATTTTAAGAACTCTTTTTACATTCAGTGACTGCTAACTGAACTGCAAATTCTGTTTGTTAATGATTTTTAACTCTTAAATTTTAACACAGAAATAAAAGTTGGGCATTCTAGCTTCATAAATCATTTTAAATAGTAAAAACTATTTTTATGAAACATCTGGCACATTGAAACATTAGAAAATAAAATAACCATAACTGGCTCTAGGACCTAATAATCTATTCACTTTATTAAATTCATTAGTGATTAATCCATATTAGCCATGTGCTTACTCTTGGAAAACTGTGTAAAGAAAACATCATCTGATATATTGTTTTAGTACATTTTCTCTGCTATTGATGTGTGTATGTATGTTTTCTTACTTTTGTAAAAATCCCTTTAAAAAGCAGTATAAAATGTTCTGCATTTAAAGTTTCCCTCTCTAGTGCCTCACCCATCCTGTGCTATTATTTACCCTGGTACCATGTTATACCTTTACCATGTTCTCACACCAGCTGGAACTTATTTTTAGTATTTTTTGAAACAAGCTCATAAGTCTTCAAATTTCACTTTTTCTTTTCCTTGGAATAGATTTTTAGATCATAAAAAGCCCAATGTGTAAGTTATGTATTACATTTGTGCAGTTTACTATATTTAATATTTCCTCACATTTCATGTTTTCCTATAAACTTTATTTTTTTTATTCCCTGGAGAAATGATATTTCAGTATATTTTTATTTAATTCCCTCTCAAAATAATTAAAACCCACTAAAAATAAGAGAAGCTTATTTCAGAAAAGAGTGCTAAAACTAAATTTTTGTAATGTCCAAACTATAAAAGATGCCGGTTGAAAGCACATGGCATCTCATAACCAGCTTATGTAATAGCTACTCCAGTTATTGCTGACATATAATCTGTGTCTTAAATCCAAAAAGTGCAGGTTGATGGCAGAGTGCCAGGCAGGGTGGAATAAGTGAGAGTGTTTTTTACCTTCTTGGAAGTTGGTGGATTTCTGCTGTTAACAGTGTTGCTCTAGCATTGGTCAGGATTGCTAGAGACTAGGGGCAGTTTGAGAAGTGAGGCTGCTGGCATTGTTTGACCAAGAGACTATCCTGTAAAGTACTGACTTGGTATAAACCCCAAGAGATTGTTGTTGTTTTTTTTTTTCTTTTGTAAAAGTATTTTTCATTAGATTTGATTTTACAAAGTAAATTAGGGATTATTACACTTTGGAAAAAGTGAAAATAAATAAATGGGAAATATGTAACCAAATGTTTTGGGAAAATGATTAATTGATTGGCTCTTCTGTTTTCTAAAAGTTGATTTTCAAGTGAGGCAGAAA